GCTAAGCTAACAATCCAATAACCCGAATTTCCCTCCCTTTTGTTTATGTGCAGGACCCATCCCTGCTGCCATGGAGGCTTGAAATTACACCGATACTAAACAGCAGTTACCAAACGATCGACCGCAAGTTACCCTGCGCCACCAAAGTACTTCAAGTGCTGGCATTCAGTCTGGCTCACAGGTCAAACTGTGGTATGTAAACTTCCATTTAACTTGCTGGTCAGGCTTCACTCCATCTTCAGATCTGAGCTGTATCTCATTATCTTTAGAAAACTGTTTCTACAAAAAGATGGTGACTAGTGATGTCATTTTAAGCAAATTTAATGGAACAATTCAAGCACTTGGCGTGCAAAACAATTCAATGATTTTGTAAACATGGTCCTTGGGAACATTATTTCAGAAACTCTTGTTTCAGTTGACCCTGTATTTGGAGCACTTACAAAGAATCTCATGAGGTGAGCAAAACTTAAAGACTGCTCTAGTTAGAACATACTTTAAACTCTTTTAAATAGGAGATGACAGTCTTATCTACAACAGATCAGCTGCTATAGTTAGATTTAGCTTCACCTTGGATAGTAAGTAGACATAGTTGTTAAACCCTGCAGGAAACTAATGCCAAAAAAGTATAAAGCAATTTTACCTTCTGTAAAATGAGTACATAGGGGAAAAAAAAACCTAAATGCATAAATTAGTACTGCTTCCCAAACCAGAAATATTTGGCAGACACTTAACCTCCCTCCTTCTCTTCTGAATTCTTATCATAGACAGGGGTACTGCCAGCCACATCTGGCTTTGATAAAATGAACCTTCTAAAAATTTTGTCTCTGTTCGTAAAGCTGCATGGAACTTCACTAATTTCCCTTTCTTCCTCCAGGAATGAAGGCAAACTGCTACAAGCTTAAACGAGGAAACAACAGTAAAAAGAACTAGCCCTAAGAGCTGCACCATTTCAGGAGATGCTCTGAATACAAATTCAGAGAAAGAAAACTTTGCAAAATGATGTACCTAAACAAAAAAAGTCATAACTGAGAACTGCTCTCTGTCAACAAGTCAAAACTGAACTTGTCTCAGTATGATTCCTATATTAAGAATTTTTGACCTGATCTATTTGAGATATTTAATGTTGACATCATCTCAAATGAACGAAGAGCAAAAAAAACTTCCTCCCTTTAGCACCTGAACACAATACTACTACTCTTTCAGTTTAAGCTCCCCAACTTCTCAATACTTTCTATGCAAGGCTAAATGACAAGTTGTGTTCACTGCAGCCCAGTACACCTACTGCCTTAACCTCACCCAATCACTACCTCTGAGACTAAACAAGTTGTCAATTTTGACTTCCATTGCCTCAGAAGAAAGTCTCTGCTACTTTCTTTCACAGTTCCAGACCTAACTAGCCTCACTGTAATGAAAAAAGCATGCCTTTAAAATAATCCTCACTTACAAAATATTCTACCAAAACCTCAAAAATGTTTTGTAACTCTTTTCTATACCAACATCAGTTTTACCAACATCCCTTTAAACCCTTCTGGAACACTGACACCAGAACTTCACCACAACGTTTTTTAGTATATTTATCTACCATGAAGAACAACAGTGCTGATCTGTACTTACAATCTCCAGGTGCAGCCTGGATTCTTCCTCCTAAATACATGACAATGCATTTGGCTTTATGGAGAAAAGCGTACCGGGGTGGCAGAGAACACATTTTGCATTCATAAGTGCCTAGGTTGCTAAGATATGTGAGACAGACCTATACAGTTTCTGTGTCATTATTTCTGCCTCCCCCCCACAAGTTTCATCTGTAAGGATTTTACACCTACTCTCAGATTACTGATCTTAATGGAGTGTGAAATCTAATACTGTCTTAGCAGAGCTCCAATAGACAATAAACCAGCTACCTCTGAGATCTGCAGGTGAGCCAGTCTTCAGACATTTAAAGTCAAGTTTAACAAATGTGTATCTATACAACTAGACTACCAAATTTGTAATCTCAATGACTGAGAACAAGTTTGACAAAACCTACTGTCTGACAGACATGTTGACTGAAATGTAATTATACTTTTTCCTTGTGAACAGAATCCCTTGTCAGTTTCCAATTCTGCCTGTAACTGATATCAGGCAACCTGGCTTATGGTTATCCAGGTTATCTCAGGTTATGCCTTTTTTGAATATTGGCACAAAACATGAACATTGTTTCGATATTCTGGAATCTCCCTGATAATCAGGATGGCTTTTTGTTTTTAAAAATCAACAGATGAGCTCTCCTCCTTACAGGGACTGTGGGAGAAGTCTTGTTTTAAAATGTTTATTCCTAATAAATGTTGTTTTAAAAACATCCTCTTTCATTACTAATGGACTGAAAAGCAGTTCATGCAACATAATCATACACTTTTGCTCCTTTCAGGATTCAGGAAAGAAGTTTTTATTGAACACTTATTTCTGCACCATTAACAACAATTTGATCTCCATCCAGTAACAGGCTTATACTATTAAGATTCCTTTGGTTTTCAAATGTATTAAACTTTTTTTATTTTTAGTCCTGACATTACAGAATCTTCCCTAGTATCACCAGATTCTATTATCAACTCTATGTCTTAACTGATCTGTACTATTTAACTTCCATCCATCTTATTGTCCGTATAAAACTACTTCAGGTTCAGTGGGAAGTAAAGGCAGTAGCCAGTAAGGACCCTCACTCTGCCTTAGACCACCGCAATCGCTCATCTGAAGCTTCAAACTCAAAACAGTTCACACATGCACAGTTCCACCTAAAACACTGTCCCTTTATGTAATCTCATTTGGCTTTGTAAATGCACCTTTCTGACAAGAAAATCAAATCATTCGGCACCCTGTTCATATTGTTTTCCAGAATCCAGAACTACAAAGCATTTCTGCCCAACAAAAATCAATGGCAAGACTCAAGCTACTAAGCCTACTGAACCCGAACCACATAGTGGTAGCAGTACCTACAGCACACTTTCCAGTTCTTCAGATTACAGTAGGTCCTATCGCTTTAGATTCAACAGTAATGCACATGTAGACTGTATTATGAGACTCAAAGATGAGCCTCAATAGAAGCACCAAAACATCATGAATCAAAATGGATATAGCACTTCAAAGCTTCTCTGCAGAAACTAAACCAGACTCCAATTTCATGCTAACTAGCTAAATTCAGGCTAGCTCCAGGCAGAGCCACTCCAGTGCCCCAAACGGTATCATTGACGGATACATGAGAAGTCTAGACAAAAAAAAAAACCAGCATAATGGCTTACCAATGCAAGTTTTAAGTGAGTTAGTAAAGCAATACAGGGATATCAGATACATTTATGCATAACTATATCTGTACATATGAACACATACGATGTGCATTTTATTTAAAATGTTTATAATATATTATGTCCTGTAAATTAACCCAGTGGAAATGAAAGAACTTGTTCATACAAAAAAAGAGAAAAAACCCCACCAAAAAACAGAGTACCTCTGTAGCACTGGCTGGTACTAGACCAGCTGGGTCTAGAGCCATTTGCCAAAACACAAGTGGTACTCAGAGTTGGTAACATCTGAAGGCAGTTGTCCCACCCCCCAACTCCCATAATTGTTATAACGACTTAGAGCAATACATAGCAACTGATGTAGCAAGGACATAATTTGTAATTGATAATTAGAAGGGCAAGTATTTGTTCTTCATGGAAGGTTACGGACCAGCTTGATTTAGCATCCTGGTAAGAAAACAAAATCTGCTCAAACAGCCAGACAGCAGTGTTCCTTCCTGTTGCCACGGGTTCATTCACCCACTTCCAACAGTTGCTTCACTAATTCTCACATTCACCTGCCAGACTAGTCTGAACTAGAACTTCTAACTAAGACCAAACAGGCTGGTTTCAAAGCCACAATCGTTGAAGTGTTTTTCCCTACCTGTACTTTAATTCACAGCAATACTTCAAACAAAGAAGGACAAATGTAAAGGCCAGAGTATCTACTTTACAGGGACAGTCATTGTTTTGGTTTTCTACAGGAGGAGACAACCTGCCAGAAGACATTTTAATCAAATGTCTTTTAAAACTCATCTAAGAGGCAACAGTGTACCTTTAGCATCACAAGCTATTTGTACCATTTTTCCCCCTTGGCATAGTTAAGATTGTGTATGCTTAAAGACACTGAATTGTCCCACTTCCTTTGAAGATTATTTCTTCAAGAGGAGTTACTGCAAGAAGAGTAAGTCAGAAAAACATTTTTGCTAGCTGCATTTCTCCCCCTACTAAAGTATTAATTTTAGGTTGACCCAGTGAAGTAAACTTTCACAGTGCCTGCAGGTTTTTTTACCTCTTCTCCATCTCAATCTAATAGGGACACTCAAAAGAGCTTCCAAAGCAACAGGTTAGGACTAAAAAAACCCCAGTTTATTTCAAGCAAAGGATTTAAGATTTCCTGAAAAATCCTCATTTTGTGATGTAGTTTAGCTTAAGTGCTTTTGTACAATCATCTTTGGCAAGGCACTGAGTCCATTTCTGAGACAAAACTCTCCATATTTGTCATACAGAAAGACTACAACCTAATACTCAAAGCTATTAATAAAAAACAACACATTTTTATTAAAACTACTACTGATAGCTAAGTAGCAGAACCAAAGTGTTTTTCTTCAGATAAGTTGTACAATACACATCCAGAATTGCACAGAACTACATTTTCAGTAAAAACATGGACGCTACTAGGTACCCAGAACTTTTGAGTTTACATCAGTATAAACCTATGATTCATACTCTAGGTTTCTATTTTATAAGTATGAATAAGACGAGAATTGTCATTTTAGAGAGGGCTTGCATAGTATATGCATATTACAGAAACATGCAACGATTGAGGACCACAAGTGTATGGCAGGTAGAAAACCTTGAGTCATTCAAATGATAAACTAGAAAAAGAAGCTAAACATTTCAATCTACACAAGCCACTTAAAACAGTTTCTGTATGGAATAATGGATTAAAAAGGAAGAAAGTACCTCCTGTCCAGTAAGAAAAAGTAAGAGATCTCCTTCCTCTTCTTCACACATGTGAATTTGGATCACTGTTCGAATGGCAGCTTCAAGGTAGTCCCTTTCTGGTTCTGGAGTATAGAATATCTCTACAGGATGGGTGCGACCCGGGATAGTTAGAAGAGGACAGTTATCAAAATAGATCTGAAACTTGCCAGCATCTAAAGTCGCACTCATAACTATAACCTGTAGGTTTGGAGGACAAAAAAAAGTTATTCCAAAGGTTAACGAGAATTTGTGAAATGGTATGCATACAACATGTAAGAAACTAAACACAACTGTTGACTGTGATTTAAGCATGCTTTTATCCTCCGATTGCAGCATCCTTGTTACAAAGGTCAAAAAAATTGCTAGTCAAATAAGGAAAGGTTAAGCTACAGTTATGCTGCTCCTACTATTTTCCTCAATACAAACTGCATTAAGAATTTCCTCAGGTTATCTTTCCAGTACAGATTATCATTAAATCAGAAAACAGTCAATTTACTTCAGTTGATTATAAAAATCAGCTAACAGTAAGCACACAGATCTCATTTGGTACGCCTGCAACCAGAAAGGAGATGCTGTTGGGCTTTATCATTACTGACCTTCAAATCAGATCTTTGTCTTACAACTTCCTTCAAAACTCCCATTAAAATATCCGTAGCCAGTGTTCTCTCATGGGCCTCATCAAGAATTATAACACCATAGCGCTCCAACAAAGGATCATTCATTGCTTCACGAAGTAACATACCATCAGTCATATACCTGAACACAAAAAATTTCAACACAGATTTTATTTAATAAGTATGATACAAAGTCCTCTTCCAGATTCACTAGATTACTTGAACTAAGCTTTTATTCAACTTTTTAAAAACAGAATCATCAGTAAACTATTTCCAACAAGGTAACAAGCCCATTTCAACTTTTCAAATAGGAATTACTGCAGAGTGTAAGTAAAATCTGGGAGTAGAGGGGAAAGCATAAAAAAAAAAGGGGAAGGATGAAACAAGGTTTAGCAACATTTATAACTAGTTTGTAGACTACTACTGACAGATTTCCAGGTCTATAATTAGAGATAAGGGAAAACCACACTCTGTAAAATACTAGAAATATTATTTCTGCAATTGTTCCTCCCCTCTTCTGTTTGCAGATTGTCATTCACTTCTTCCTTTTCTCTCAGCTAAATTTCTTTACACATTTACTTTATTCCCAATCCTTCAATTACTTGTATGAGCAAAAGAGAAGACATCTTTTGATAGAAAAACACTATTCCTTGAACCACACTACGTGGAATCCTTTTTAACTGAGCATTCTGAATGCCATCTGCAGATGATGTATTAAGTGGGCCTGGTTCCACCTACACAGCCCAGGAATCTAGAACAGTTGTCAACTAAAACACTATGGATTATGTATCCCAGAGTCAGGTATAGGCCAGTTTTGAAGCTTTGTGGTAGTTCTCCGTACTGAAGCTACTGAACTTCACCAGGATTACCCTGAGCAGAAACATACCACAGACAAAAGTCAGCTGAATGCATAACATGAAGAGAAACTGAATGCTGAAGAGCTTTTATGATTAAAGTGCTATTCAGAATAAAGAAGTACTTCAGATCATCCTCCTCTCTATGGATCACTTAAAATTAATTTCCATGGGGTACGGTGATTTCTTTAGGAAGAACGACTCGTTTTCAATTCTACTCAAGCCCCACACCTCAGGTTTCTCTCAGCTCATGCTAGGGCTCCGGTCTATCTTCTCCACTCAGACACAGAAAATGCCTGTCCATAGATTCACTCCCTTTCCTCATTACTCCTTTCATAAGTTTGCTCACACCCTTCACTACCCTGCAATTCCCCCCCATCTACGAGGAGGCTGTGTTATATCTTTACCTGACAGTTGCCATACTTACTTCAAAATGGTTTTTGCACTACTGCAGTCTTCAAATCGAATAGAGTAACCAACCTCCTGGCCCAGCATGACATCCATCTCATCAGCAACCCGCTGTGCCACACTCATTGCAGCTACTCTCCTAGGCTGGGTACATGCTACTCCCCTCTTTGGTCCGGGTAATGAGCGCATGTAGTCAACACACCACTGAGGGATCTGGCAAGAATAAAATTCAGTTTAAAACACACTTCAAATGGCCAAATGTTATTTGATACAATACAAATGTTACAAATTAAGTTAGTTATAATTCCACTGAGATGCCAACTGCATGCACAAAAATATCCAAAGCAGGAGAGCAGATATGCTAATTAGTTGGACCCAATACCACTAAATAAAGCACGCATTAAGCATGTACATAACTATCTTTCAAGTTATCAAGGAAATACATAGGTTCACAGTACATTTAAGCACTGTTAGATCAGTACGTTATATTTAACAGCAGTCAACATGCTCCAAAGCAACCAAAATTAAAGTTATCATTCAGAATTTTGAAATCCAGAGCACAGTTCATTTAAAGTTTTACAGCAAACAAATTGTATTTTGTGGCTTTAAAAAGTAATGCTTATTAATACTTTAAGCAAAAAGAATTATTTTAGTGACATAAAAATTGTCTTAGCCAGGAATCACAACAAATAAAAATGAATAATCAGTTATGTTCATTTGGTTAATTATTGAAATTTTATCAACCAAATATGAAATCCCTATGTTTTCATTCCTATGTTAGCACTCATTTTATTTGTCAGTCAGCAGTTTTCTGCTCCTGTTAGGAACCTGGAAACATTAAGAATCATCCAAAATAAGCAGCTTTATTCAGAAGAATTGCTAAGACTGATGAAGACAGAATATTCTTAACATATTCTCAGTGTGACGTTTTATGATGAGACATCACCAGGCACAACTAGTTCCAAGTCTACAGATCAAGAAATCCACTCCTCCTTAGTAACTGCTTTTCAAGTATTCTTAAAAGCTCACATTTACAGAGGGAGAAAAAAGTTTATACATTGCACAACAACGAATAACAGGAAAAGCGGTGTAATTTAAACCAGGAATTTTTTTTCTTCTAGAATACCATATTTTCACAGCAAAACGGACAAAAGTGAACACTAAAACATACCCACAAGCAGAGAAGTGTAGACTGTAATGAAAAACACTTTTCTAAATGGAGAACATATTTCCATTATAAATACAAAAAAAAGAAAGCAAAGACTATCAAAATATGACAGGAAACTACTAGACTGCTGAGAAAAGAACTCAAATTTCTGAAAACTCTTTTCAAAAAATAGAAATTCTTGAACATTGATAGCATAAACCTGAAACCCTACGCTGTAACATACACACACTCCCCTAATATGCAGTGTAGAGAAAGGAATTTGCTTCCCAAGTCACTAATAAAAGCTCAACTCTAAGCATATCAGGTGAAGCTTCTTGACTTTAAACACAGCAATTCCTGAAATAAACTTTAAAACAGCATGTCGACCAGGCTACAGCAGCAATAAAAATAATTTAGAGGTAGTTTTCCAGTAAACAGCAAAACCTACAGTATTGGTCAAATGAGGTGAAAAAGGCTACATAGACTTCAACATGTTAAGCTGATTTAGATGACCACCAAAATACTTTTCATGTCCAGCTTTAAAAGACATACAAACACTAGGAAAAAGGACTGTGCCATACTACATTTTCTACTGCAGTCATGACTGGGAATATACTGAACACTTATCATCATCTGGTTCTTATAAAACCTAACATAAAGTTAGCTCAACTCCACTGACACAAAATACCTACAAATTACCAAACCCCTTGACTTTCCTTAAAAAAAAATACATTATCAGTATCAAAAGCATGAGGAATAGCTTTAGTTAGCACCCTTTAACCTAAAGGGCCTTCTCAAGAGAGATACTTCCATAAGCACGAGGAGGCAGGGATTACACATATAGTGGCTTCTAAGATCAAAGATAAATGCACTGAGAGGACTGTTAAAGACTATTCCAAAGTCAAAGGAAAGTCATGTTTTTAAAGGGATGCAGGGCAGGAGAGGAAGAGCACTATCCTTCTGGCTTTTCTGAACCATATCAATTTATTGGAAACTTTCTCTGTTGAAGGTTATAGGGTAGAATTCTCAGAATTTTCATTACTTTAAAAGGTGTCAGACTTTTACCTGTGTCAACTCTCCTATGGAATACAAGGGCAGCAGATTAAGCTACACTCAGAATCACCTTGCTTCTGCACTTAACCTGCCAAGAAAATTTGCTGACAAAGTGGCATCCCTTATGCTACATCAAACATCCTACCCTTTATTGTTAAGGCTCTCAAGTGAAAGCAGGTAATACTCTACTATTCCATCTATGGAAGAAATTTAAATTATTATACCAGCACCACAATATGATTCCACATTTAAAAGAGAGCATGTGTTGCAATTACAGCAAGTATTTAACTTCTTTTTAAAAGAAATTCAGCACACCACTGAGCATATTCTAAGCATTTAAAGAAAACAGTTAACTTAGAAGGTTAAGTTTAAATTACAAATCAAGCCATTACAAATACTGAAGACTTGAAAATTAATGGTCTTGGCTTCCAAAAATACTTCTTCAATGCTTTGGGATTAAGTCTACGCAGAACAGGACTTCAAGAAAAGTTTTATCTCCTGTTTCCACTGTCAAAGCCAAGTGTTTCCAAACCTGGGTGCTCTACAAGACTAAGGGGAAAACATGCATAACAACCAGGGAAGGGACTTGACAGGCAGCAGCGCTCTCAAAAAGATTATCTACTGCTATATAGCCTTCCATTATTGCCATGAAAGAACAACTCATTATATATTTCAAATAATGCCAACTTTATACCAATAAAAGCAAGCAGAAATAGTTCATGTACAACTTCAGTTTGAGCATTAGAGGGTTTCTTAACTACACATAATTATTTATCTTGTTCTGATCAATGAATGTAAGGAGAAGAAAAATAAACACCCCTGTAGTGCTTTTAAGACAGCACTTGATCACAAAAAGGATGTGACACTATCACATGCAAAACAAGGTTTTCATTAAGTGGCAGCAGGATCATTTTCAGTGATATGTTCCTACAGAGACACTCTCAATTGTTTCAAAACATATCTGCAACCTCATAAGAGAGAATTCAGAGGAAGCAATGAAGCTTCCAAGACAGCTTATGTGCTTTTGGTAGCTTAAATCCCATTCTTAGGAAAGATGCCTTAGGTTTAAGTCCTTTTTCTCAAAGGGGTAAAGTAGTAAGGCAATTCAGGAAAAGCTTTATGCCTGTGGAATGACACGATAGATGTATCTGAAGTTTAAGTCATAGATATTAAGATCTTTTCGATCTTCAAATTCTCACATTATGCAACAAGACATCTTGTTTTCACACAGGTATGTACTTTTTTTTTTTACATGAATGTTCAGAATACTATCTCTTCCAAGTAACTACATAATCAAACTTTTCTGAATTCTGTAAAATCCTGGTCTCAGCTTATACATGTTAAAAAAGCAATACAGACACTGCCATAAGGCACCTTCCAAACAAGACACCAGTTCCTAAAATTTGCAGCCAAAAGGGCGTATAACTTCCAATATTTCAGGCACAGCTATAAAAAGTATCTAATGTATTCCTATGTCCTTCACATTTTCATGACATCCAAAATTTTATGACTAAAAATTTATTTCTGTAAGACTTGCTGTAAGTTAGCTATAATCCATTTTATAAAGACTAAAATATCCTTCAGTTTTTATTTTCTGCCTAGATAAAAGGAATTTATCAAGTTAAAGAAGGAAGAACTTTTTTACATCACTTTTCCACACAGATTTTAAACAGCAAACAAAAGGATAAAGTTTTGAGCAAGTCTGTCATGCTATAAATACACAGTGATATTCCTTATATCTTAGATCTTCACCGTTTACTGGTCCCCAAAAATCATCTTAAGGGTCAAGAAGGCTCTACAGATCTGCTATCACTATTTTCAGCTAAGGAAGATTTTTAAAGCCATGAATCTAAAAAAAAAAAGTGATTTTAACCACAACGCTGAAGAGCTATATGACCTCTGAGAAGTTTCAGTACCAAGGAAACAGAAGTCTCTTCCTCTCAAGTTTGACTGTCACTGAAACACATGATCCGATCGGATCATGTCAGAATTGTATTTGACATTTCAATTCACTTTAAGTTCACATCTGCAGCAGTAAGTTTCATAAAATACTAACAAGTGCCTACTTCTGTAACATGTTCCCTACTTTCCAGCTGCTATCTACACTAACAGCTAAATAAACTACTGATGTAAATTTGGAACCATCACCTCAGTTTGTGGATTAGTACACTTTTGTCCTTTACCAAAAGGATAACTACCAATCCTAAAGCGGACTAGAAGCAGGGGGCAGACAACAGGACTGGATTGTGAAAGGGGAAGAAGCTGAAAGATTCTTCTCACTTTTGTATTCACTAAGCAAATAAAACGTTCATCAAACTAGTTTTGCTCACAATCTGTGAGCTGTTCTTGCACAATGAATTTCAAGAAGGTAAAGCAAGTTTCACCCACACACACCTAGCAACAGTCTCAACCTTTTAAAAAAATGCATTATCATATAGATAAGAACTCACCTGTGTTGTTTTACCAGACCCAGTCTCTCCAACCAGCACAAATGACTGATGCCTAATCAAAATATCCGTAAATCTTTCTTTATATTCCCAGACAGGAAGTTGTAGCCTTTTTTTCAGGATGTCATAATATCGTGGTGTATGTGGTAGATTTGTGAAAGGGTTAATACTGTGTGGAATCATTGCTGGTTTTATAGTTTGTAACCCAGCAGCCGCATAATACGTGGAGTTAGATGTAGGTCGCAAATCTTTTTCCTTGTCCCTTTCTCTGTCACGATCTCTATCTCTGTCACGATCCCTGTCACGATCTTTAGAACGGTCATCACGGTCCCTGTCCCGGTCACGATCTTTCCTAAAACAAGTTAGCAAACAGAAGAAAATTAGATACTGGAATATTTAAATGCGGAGTAGGAATTTAAATACAATGCAACTTTAAAGGTATCTAGTACAAAGTGGATATAAATGAAATCTTTTAAAAAGTCTTGCAAACAGCTATCTGGAAGGATAAGCATCAAAGAGTAACAGTATATAATGCATACTGAATATACACAGTTACACTCATTCTACATAAGCACTGCCATAGTTCCTCTCATTACAGGCAAGACTGAAGAAAGCTATCACATGATAGCTTTTTTTGTTCAGTCTTCCATACAATTCAGACTCAATCAATTTTGATATACAGGGTGGTAAGTCTGAAACTTAGACTTAAAAGCAGTCACTACAGTTCACAGAATCATTTGGGTTGGAAAAGACCCTTAAGATCACAGAGTCCAAGCATTAACCTAACACAACCAAGTTGTACCATCTTCTCCAGGATTACCTCCTACCACATACTTAAACAGCATTTCTGTAGTCTCATTTGTTCCAAATATTAAGTAAAATAAAAGTTCATTGCACTTGCAAAAAAAAAAATCACCACAAAAACCCAGTATTATTTTCACCAGTTATTCACTCAAATTTCAATCTCTGACCTCAGTCTTAGTGGCAGTTTCTGATTTTGCAAATTCACGTACTTGTTCTTGCACCTCTCTCCCTACAAACACTGAAACACTTGTAAAGAAATCCCCAGTTTGACCCAAAGAACTATAGCTACATGCTTTTAATAAGAATCCCAAACATAGCCTAATTTGGCACTTTGAAATAGGCCCCACTTTACAAAAATACCCCATCACACTTCAAACTAAATTAAGTCAGAAGACAGTGCCATCTTTGCCTCCAAATCTCAGGATATCCTCAGCTGCTTCTGTGTATTATGTTAACTGAAAAAGCCAAAACCAGCTTTATAGTAAATGCACATACAAACATTTTTAGGAATAGTCACTAAGAGAAAACGAAACCTCCCCCTCTTCTTTACCAGCATTCAGGCATGCCTGAAAGAAAAGAGAGCATTTCTAAAGCAAACTGTAGGCCAACACTCCACAGCAATTTTTTTTTTTAACATGCAGCTAGAATTCAAGTGTAACTGGTGAAGTAATAAGCAATTTCCTACCTATAGAGAAGATGAAGTAACCAAGATTGTATTAGTACTGATTTTGTAAATTTTAATTCAAAACGTGCTGCACACTGGAAACAACCACCACTCTTGTTCTTGTATAAATGACTAATATATGCAGCCTGTATGTTTTTCCCCCCTCAATACAACATATTATGGCTTCAGAGGTTGTCGCAGTAAGTTGTTTGTGGGTTGGTTGGTTTTCGGGGTTTTTTTGGCTGGGGTTTTTTTTTTTTTTTTGAGGGTGGGGAGGGTGGGGGTGTGGGTGTTAAAGAAGAATGCTTTTAACACAGACCCATTGAAAATAAAGGATTACAAAGCATACTGTCTACTGTCACTTACCTAACTCACTTGTATATAGATTTTCCTAAAGCTCTGGACACTGAATTGTCTGAAAATTAAGGCCCTTTTAGATCATTTGCTTGAATCTGAGATACCATAGTTTCAACATTACTTCTAACATGGTCAAATATTGTACAAGCTGGAAATCTCTTCTTACTGTAAAACGGCAGGCAAATATTGCAGAACCCAATAGGTTCATATTCTCTGGTATAGAAAAGTTATCCCTGTTACAAAGTGAAGGAACTAGGCTCCACTATGCTATGCTTAATGGTGGAAGAGTCTAATAGCACGTATTGGCCAGGAATAAAGCTTGGGACCCGTTAATGAGCTATTCACAATCAGATTTTCAGATAACTGCAGGTACTGGGATGAGTGCACAGTCAGACAGTAACATCATTAATAAGAGGAAAATAAAAGTATAAAAGCAATGCAAGAGTGGTAAAGCCAGGGTCAAACACAACAACCTGGTAACAGCACACACTTTACTGAAGGGAGAAATAAGACACACCGCTAATTGGGTTTGTTTGGGGGCTTTTTGGTGGGGTTTTGTGTATGTGCACTTCTGAAGGCTTTTTATTCTTCACTGTTATCTAGTCAAAGTGTAAAAAAAAAAACCAACCCATGCCAACAAAACAAATTATTCCATAGTTCTATTAACTTAAACAGTATGATGTCAGAAGCGTCTATATCTCAGATCATCAAGTGTATCTTCAGGTATGCTTCAGCCTCACATAAACCAGCACTATTGCTAAAGTGAACAGACCTACACTATTCCAACCCTTCCCGTGTGTTGGTATAAGCATTTCAGCAGCCTTGTGAAGAACAAGCCCTCTCTAGACTTCCTCCACCGATGTTAACTCTAACTCAGATCAGTTCTCTTATCTTGTCTCCCACTCACTCACTCCACAAGGGAGACAGCAGCACTGTTTTCTTCTGCACTGGTAGCAATTTGTGTGGGCTTAAAGCATAGACAAAAATACAACTTCAAGAACAAGACAGTGGATTAAATGGACTACACATACAACCCAGAATGGAAAATCCTGTTAATCCCCCATTTCTCAGTTTCTTCACTGAACTCTTACAGCCCTTTAATCATACAAATAAGAAAACAAACCTATCAAGTACTATCTACATTTCAAAAGTAAAACAACTGCTTACAGGTTAATCAAGACAGTTGTGCCTCTTGTTTTAAAAAAGAAAAAAAAAGCGGAGGCAACCAGATCTTAGCATAGAAAAAATGCAACATATAACATGCCCTCAAACTTACTCTCTAATACTTATCATTTTATACCAGCACTTTTTTTTTCTTCATAAAAATGTTTCCCAGTCTCCCGTTATTACTGAAACTTAGCAGACACATCCAGACTCTGATCAACAAGGGAAAAGAGGAATGACAATTATGCTACCATATTTACTAAACTTTCTATAAATACAGCTTGGCAGTACTTCATTTATAAACTGTCACATTTAAGTTACTTTTCATTATTGCACAGAGAAGACTGATCCCAAACCCAGAAATTAACAATAAAAGAATCATAATTTAATTACATGTGTCTTGTACCTGAATCCCATTAACAGCCTCTATAACCATAAGGGTGTTGGGTTTTTCGCTTTGTTTTTCAAGTAGTGCGGCCTGCTATCTGCTTTCACTTCATTATGTCCACACATACATAATACATACATGTGGATCCAAAAAAAAAACCACTGTAAAAATCACTAAATCGGATGATGAAAAGCACACAAAAATGAAAATGGGCACAAAAGGTACAAGGTAAAACCACTGATCACCACAGTGAAAGTCTAAAGACATCTAATAGAACATTAGTGGGGTTTTTTTTCCTTCATTACTAGACACAGCAACAGTTGATGCAAAAAAGCCAATGCAGCTAAAGGAGGATTTTTGCTCCATACATAATAAAACAAAGTACAATTAGTCTGAATGTAACCACTAACACAGTAACCATGTTACACAACAACTAAAGTTAAGTATGTTTGGAAAAAAATTAACAGATTTTAAATAGTACGTATGCAATTTACTCAAACACTGCAATCAAAAGCCTTCCATAAATTTCCCATTTTTCCAAAAAGTTTTTTACTTCATAGATGATACTTGCAAGACTGGAAGAAAACAGATGTTGTGTTGATGCTTAAGGTTACAGCAACAATTACAAGCCTATTGGCCTGGCATCGTTGCCATGTAGAGCCACACATACCAATAGAGGCCTCAATTAAAAAGGAACTAAAAAAAATACTAGTTAGTCAGGTGGTCCAGTTTGAATGCAAGATAAACTATTATTCTGCATGTGAAGTGGTAACCATCCAAGGAGCTAATTCTGCTTAATCCAGCTCCAAAACCAACTAAATTGCATAAAGGCATCTTGGCACAGAGGAAGACATATATATGTGCTATTAACAAGAATCTCTCTGTGCGTTCTCCTTACCACCTTCCATAAGCTGTAAACCCAAACTACCCTAAAATAAATCAAGACAATGTAAGATTAGTATTGCTTGTGCTACATGAATTAAGATTTCAAGTACTATGAGAAATAATCACACTCAATAATTACGCTTATAGTGACTTCTTGTCAGTCCTATGCCATTTAATGTTTTTATTGGCAGGGAAGGAGGGGCAAAGAATGGGCACAAGACCAGCACTTGTATAGTTTTTAGGTGCCATAAAGGTCATAGACTTCTGGTTAAAAAGTTTTATCACTGGTGGGAACTTATTACTGCATATACAATATGGTAAGACTAAGAGTTCAGGATCACAGTAGATAATCAGTAAAAACAATGCCAAATAAAACTATACCAAAACTATAAAACCCATTAACATACAAATAAGGAAATACTAGCGTGTGATTATCTTTACAGCTAACCGTAACAGTTATACCACATTTAAATAATGCCAAATTTTGGCATGACCATTGGAAAATTTTACAAAAATACCTACAAAAAGGCTGCATATGCACAACTTTTCATAGAAAAGCTGTTTCAGTTTTTGGCAAATCATGCAAAAATGGATTAAAGGAGAGAAATAGCTCAATACATTTATTTAAAAAAATAAAACTATAGTGATCCTAAATACACGAAATAGATGTTCAATAATAAACATTCACTTTTGTTTAGCAGGAAAAAAAAAGTCCAGGGGCTAAAAGCTGAAGCTACACAAGCTCACCTTTAAAAAAAAAAAGTTTTGCAAAGAGCCTATATCAGTGAACACTAAGTGCGACAGTAGACTTTTAGTTATTTGAGAACAAGATTAAGTATTTTTCTTAGGTAAATACTCTAGTCCAAAACAATGCTGTTGGACTTTAGAAAGATTAATTCACAGAAGTCTTTTGTGCTCCATCAAGACGGACTGACTATATAAACATAGTATTTATTTGTGTTCCTTTAGACTTTAGGAATTTACTTTGAAGAGCGACCCACCTTCCCCTTCCCCAATTACAGGGTAAGAGATTATGCAGAGAAAGCTCTAAAACAACCGTGTATAAAAGAAGAGCACCAGTGTATTGTCTGTGTTCCTTCAATTTCACTAACCTTAATGAAAATCTGCTAAACCTTGTGCAGTACAGTCCTAA